TGTGTGTGTGTATGAGTGTGAATGTGTGTAAGAGCAAGTGTGAGTGTGTGTGTGTATTTGTGTGTGTAGGGGGATCAGTGAGGGCCAGGAGACGTAGATTGAGACGTCTGAGATGAAAGCACAAAGGGCGCACTCACCATGCAAATGGCCCTGCAGCGGAAGCCTGTTATCAGGAGCATCTGATGGGGTTTTTCAGGGTGGAGGCCAGCACCCCAGGCAGCACAGGTTTTCCTGGTTCCCAGGCAGCTGCCTGCAGTTGACATGGCCCTGGTGTAATGCACCACTCCTGGACCCTCCAGCTAAGAGTCCAAACACACTGGCATAACCCGGTGCCCTGGAAACCACCTGCCTTGTCCTGTGCCACCCACCCACCACATCCTGGGGATAGCCTCTGCCAAAGGCATCAGACCCTCTCAAGCAAAAACTAGGATGGGAGTAGGTGGAAGAACAGGGCCTGGAGCACTCTCAGGTGATAAGCCAAGCTCTCCACCCACTGGGTCTTCCCCACACAGCCTGGAGTGCTCCCTGAGAGCTTCCCCGTGCCTCGTCCTCACCCCCAGGCCTCTTACAGGCAGGATGGGACAGGTCAGGATCAAGTTCTCACCCGCATGGTGCCAGGAGTTCTGATCTGGGTCCCTGAGCAGCTACTGGTGTTTCCTCAAGGAGCCAGGCCAGTTCAAAGCTTTCTCTTCCTTCCCCTTCTTGGGGCCTTGAGAGACTTTGGAGGACTCCTGAATCCAACAAACTTCCCTCCAGACGGTGATCTTCTTGAGAGCAGGACTGTGTCCCAGTTGTACCTGGCACATGGCAGGTGCTCAATAATGACAAATACTTATCTGGAGCTTACTGTATGCCAGGCATTGCTCTTAGAGCACAGAGAGGTAAAGCACCTTGCCCAAGGTAGCACAACTAGGAAGAGGTAGAGGTGGGATTTGAACCCAGGCAGTCTGGCTCCAGCCATGCCCTCCCATGAGTTAAGATGTATTCGTTTGATGGAATGAGCTCAGTTGGTGAGGGGGCAACCCTGAGGTCACCTCTGAGTGAGTTGGACCTGGCACCAGACTACCCAGGCCAGAACTGCCTTGAGGCGCGAGATCCTTGGGCCCCACTCTCCAGGCTGGGGGTGGGTGATTATTGAAGGGTGAGGTCCCTGGGGTCCTGCTGATGGTGGACAGAGCAGTCTCCTGGGAGGCTTTCACCAAAACCTGGGAGAGCCATCTTCTGCTTCCTTCAAGGTCACCCCAGTAGGGCAGCTTTAGCCACAATTGTGGGTGGGGTGTGTGCTGGAGAGTGTGAAAGGAGGTGCGGCAGGAGGTTTCAGGAGGGTTGGAAGAGATCTGAGGGTGGGAGTGTGTGTGAGATGAAGCCCTGAGGGGCACCCTTGACTTCTCCCACTCTAGAGAAAGACAGGCTGGTCTGTCAAGTGGTTGGGGGTACCCTGGGGTCCAAGCCAGAGGTCATTGTATGTGTGGAGGTGGGGGCTCTGGTCTTATGATCAACCTGACCACCAAGGACCATGGGGTGAGGGTGCAGAGAGCAGAGGGACACAGACTGGGGGCAGCAAGGGGAGGGGGCCGCTGTTCACTTGGGGTCATAGCTTTCTTAATAGGAAAAGAGAGGCTGGAAGTCAGCCTGGGGGAGCCTGAGACAGACAGGAATAGTGGAGGTAGCTGGGCCAGAGCAGGTGCAGCCTGATAAGAGTGGTAGCCCCAGGAGGCTCAGGAGCAGCTGAGCCAGGCAGTAGCCCCCAGCCCAGAAGAGCAATTAGCAGGTTGGCAAATAACCGTTCCTCTGCCCTTTAGTTCAGAACCCTGGTTACTTGTTTCATCTGATAGCATCTGACTGGCCACAAGGCAGCGTCTTCATTAAGACCCCCGTATTTGGCTAGGTGTGGTGGCTCATGCCTGTAATCCCAGCACTTTGGGAGGCCGAGGTGGGCGGATTACATGAGGTCAGAAGTTTGAGACCAACCTAGCCAACATGGCGAAATCCCATCTCTACTAAAAACACACAAAAAAACTAGTTGGGCCTGGTGGTGGGTGCCTGTGATCCCAGCTACTTGGGAGGCTGAGGCAGGAGAATCGCTTGAACCCGGGAGGCAGAGGTTGCAGTGAGCCAAGATCTGGCCATTGCACTCCAGCCTGGGTGACAGACTGAGACTCCATAAAAAACAAAACAAAACAAAACACCAAAATAAACACTTTTTTTTCTGGGTTCATAAGACTAAGGAAGCCCACTCAAATTTCTCCAGTTGTCCATCTTACCCCCTCAGCACTCAGCTAACTGTGGGTAATTGAAATTTCACAGAAGGACCCAGTGAGCGGTGTCTGCAGGCCTGGGATGCCAAAGAGTATGACTTCTTCCAGGGGATGACATGGTGCCTGCTGACCTCTGAGCAGGCTGGAGCCTGCCACAGCCAGAATTATTATGGGGTCTAGGAAGATACCTTCCCAGCAGAAGCCATGGGCTGAGCAGGTGTAGGATAATTCACTGTTTAGGAAAATAGATGGTCATTTTCTACATGTGATGCCATGGTACTATTTCTTCAAAGGAAATATGATCTCAAACAGCAACATAGAAAACAAACAGAGGGGAACTGGGTCTTTGGGCCTCCCGGGCTGTCTTCATGGGCCCCGTGGGGTTCCCAAGGCCGTGCCAGGGAGCCTTTTTTGAGAGCAGCCCTGGGCAGACCAGGGCCCAATGTGGCCTGAGGCCTCTGTGCGGTTGGCTGCCTTTCCTGGTCATTAATCGCTACTAAGTGTCATTACCACTAATAAAATTAACCGACTTGATACTGGACTCTCTGAGCCATCAATCTCAGGGTCCATTAGATGAAATTTAAAAAACAGATGCCTCTGGGGTGGGGCCTGGGGATTTGCATTCCACCGAGCTCCCAACAACGCTGGCCATGCAGAGCTGGGCACTGTTTGAGACCCACTGCCCCCTCCAGGGTCTCTTCCCCTGGGCATTGTGGACATCGTGGTGGGGTGAGGCCGTTCTGGGCACTGCAGGGTGCTGGGCAGCATCCCTGGCCTCCACCCACTCCATGCCAGAAACACCAAAAACAAAAACAAACAAACCAACCAACAAAAACCAGATGCCTGTTGAATGAGTGGAGGGGTTTGCTGGGTCTGGCTCCCAAGTGCAGCCTAGGGAATTCTGGCACTCTTCAGATGTCAGAGGTCAGAATCAAGGATGATGCCTTTAGTTAGACAACCCAACTCTGAGCCTTCACCCCACACTTTAGGGGAGTCCCAGACAAGAACATAGCTTGGGCAGGGTGCAGTGGCTCACGCCTGTAATTCCAGCACTCTGGGAGGCTGAGGCGGGTGGGTCACTTGAAGTCAGGAGTTCAAAACCAGCCTGGCTAACATGGTGAAACCCCGTCTCTACTAAAAATATGAAAATTAGCCTGGCATGGTGGCGCACACCTGTAGTCCCAGCTACTTGGGAGGCTGAGGAAGGAGAATTGCTTGAACCCAGGAAGTAGAGGTTACAGTAAGCTGAGATCACACCACTGCACTCCAGTCTGGACCACACAGCAAGACTGTCTCAGAAAATAATAATCATATGCTATATATCATGTCATATCATATGACATATAATGTAGCTATAATGATGTAATAATCATAGCTATTCTTTTTTTTTTTTTTTTTTAGACGGAGTCTCGCTCTGTCACCCAGGCTGGAGTGCAGTGGCCGGATCTCAGCTCACTGCAAGCTCCGCCTCCCGGGTTCACGCCATTCTCCTGCCTCAGCCTCCCGAGTAGCTGGGACTACAGGTGCCCGCCACCTGGCCTGGCTAGTTTTTTGTATTTTTTAGTAGAGACGGGGTTTCACCGTGTTAGCCAGGATGGTCTCGATCTCCTGACCTCGTGATCCGCCCGTCTCGGCCTCCCAAAGTGCTGGGATTACAGGCTTGAGCCACCGCGCCCGACTGGCTATTATTCTTAAAATGGCATATGAGGCAGGTCTTGAAGGATATGCAGCTTCATTGGCCAAAATTTCCATTACTCCCTGCTCGCTCTCCCCTCTGTCAATCAGCTGCTACCAGAGAGGTCCAGTTTCTGAAACACAGGAATTGTGTGAGCAAAAGTCGCCGCTCACACCAGCCCTCAGTGTGAGGAGGAGGACATTTGAGGGCAAGGTAGCTGCAGCCCCCAAGCTGCCCTCCACACTGGAAGCCAGTCAAGGTGTGGCCTCAGCTACAGTTGACATCTAGTTCTGCTCTGGACCTGCCAAGGGTCAAACTCTGAGGGTTTCCTGCCAGGCTGCAGGGAGGGGTTTGGGTGTAGACCTGGTGGACTGGAAAATTACCCATTTGCCCCCAGATTAATGATTAACGGGTCCCTGCCCTCACCCTGTCTGGGAGAGGAGCCCAGGGCCAGGCTGGCCAGGGGGAGCCCGATAGCATCTGTCTCTGCTCGGAGGTTTCGGAGATATGCTCCATGGTGGGCTGACTGCACCTGATGGGTGTGGAATCTATGGGTGATTTCTGAGGGCACCTGGGGCCTGGCCAGGCCACATACCCTCCAGTGAGGCTTCTAACTTCTGGGGCATACAGAGAGGGTGTGGCATCCATTCAGACGTCCTGATTAAGGCAGGTGGCTCCAAACAGGAGAGCTGTGCCCTTGGCTCAGAGGAACGTGGGCTTCTCTGACCACTCCTGGCTTGACCACAGGACTTACCTTGGCCAGTGGCACATAAGCAACAGTGGCAAGTGCCACATCCAAGCAGGAGCTCTAAGAGCCATTGCCTGCTTCCACCTTTGCTTTTTTTTTTTTTTTTTCTTTTTTGAGATAGGGTCTTGCTCTGTTGCCCAGGCTGGAGTGCAGTGATGCGATCTCAGCTCACTGCAGCCTCCACCTCCCAGGATCAAGCTATCCTTCCACCTCAGCCTCCCAAGTAGCTGAGACTACAGGCTTGTGCCACCATGCCCACCTTATTTTTCTATTTTTAGTAGAGACAGGGTTTTGCTGTCACCCAGGCTGCTCTCAAACTCCTGGACTCAAGCGATCCACCTGCTCGGCCTCCCAAAGTGTGGGATTACAGACGCGAGCCACTGTACCCAGCCCACCTTTGATCTTTTACCCTGGCTATGAGGCCAGGATGTCCCAGAACGGGGTTACTTCTTTTGGGCTGGGTCCTGGAATGATGTATATTCCACCCACACTGGGGGCGCCAGGGTATAGGACAGCAAACATTTTGAACCAGCAGAGCCATCTCACAGAGAGCTTCTGGGAAGAGGGAAGGCGAACTCTAATTCGAATTCCCACCCTGCTCCTGATCTGTTGTATGACCAGGCCAGTTACTGCCTCCTCATAAATCCTTCGTTTCCTCATCTGGACAAAGGGGAGACTCTGCTTAGCTGGAGAGGAAAGCATCTTGCAAAATGAGAGAAGTTTGGGAAGCTCCAGCTAGTAGGAAGGTAGGCCTGCATGTCCCAGGCACTGTGGTTAGTCCATGTCATATAATCCTCCCAGCAACCCTAGGAGGTAGAGAAGATTATGCTGCCCAGTTTCCAGAAGGGAAAAAACCAAGGTGTCAAGATTCCATAGCCAGAATGTCAGCCTTAGAATTGGGCAGCTTGGCTCTAGAATTGATGAACTTTCAATCCAGGAGAACAAGAAGTCTGGGATTGATGGCCTGATGGGAATTCAGCTCCTTCACCTTCATCTAGCCATCCATCAGTCCTTCCTTCCTTCCTTCCCTTCTCTTTCCTTCCATCCCCTTGTCTCTCCAGGCATCTATTTGTTCCAGGCACCGAGTGGTCGGATGGTTGAAGATCTATCTGGGAATTACGGAAACATGTTAGATTGGTATGGCATTACTTGGGCAGCAGCATAATGTAAGGGAGAGAGGGATGTCAGGGGACCTTGGCTGGGTGTCCGCTCGATGTCCACATCCCCTCTGCCTGCCCCCTCTTAGGAATGTGGCTCTCCTGGCCAGGCAGTCACCAGTACTCTGTGCATCATTTCCCAGACTTCCCAGATCACAAAAGCTGCCCAGGGACTGTGGTAAATATACAGATTCCCAGGCCCAATTCCAAACCAACAGACCCAGAATTGCCCAGCATGGATCCTGGGAAAGCATATTTTTAATAAGCACCGCAGATGATTTTTCTAACTGGGCCAGTTTGGGAAATAGGGTAGATAAGAAGAGCAGAGACTGGAATCTGGAAAACAGGATTCAAGTCCTGCAGCAACCCTTGTTACGTGAACCTTGGTTTCCTGTAAAATGGGGACGGGACCTCCAGGGGGTCAACCTGCCACCCAGAGGGCAGTAAATGAAGCCCCTGAAAAGGCCCCTTCCCTTCACTTGCCCGTCACCACCATCCCCAAGGCTCACCCGTCTCCCTCCTCTCGCTCTCTCTAGCCTGACCGGGCGGGAGGTCCTGACGCCCTTCCCAGGACTGGGCACTGCAGCGGCCCCGGCACAGGGCGGGGCCCACCTGAAGCAGTGCGACCTGCTGAAGCTGTCCCGGCGGCAGAAGCAGCTCTGCCGGAGGGAGCCTGGCCTGGCTGAGACCCTGCGGGATGCTGCGCACCTCGGCCTGCTTGAGTGCCAGTTCCAGTTCCGGCATGAGCGCTGGAACTGTAGCCTGGAGGGCAGGACGGGCCTGCTCAAGAGAGGTGGGGAGGAGGGCCAGGGGAGGAGGAGGGCTGGGGGAAGAAGGCTTCAGGGAGGAGGAGGCTGGGAGAGGTTGCCCTTTCCTTTTTCCTGGCTCCTGTGTCCAGGCCACACTGCCCTTCCTGCCCTAGCACAGTCCCAAATGAGAAGAGTCCTGGGAGTTAATGAGGGACAGTTGAAGGCCAGGTGTGGCCCAGCCTCAGGTTTGGGGGAGCAGAGGAGCAAGGAAGATCCAAGAGAGAAGGAGACACAAGCCTATTCCTGGAGGAGCCCACAGATGAGATGGGGGTCCCCCAGTTGTCTCCCTCTGCCACACACACACACACACACACACACACACACACAGACACAGACACAAAACAAGGCACATGAAGACGTGAGGATGGGCGGCAGCTGGTTCCAGGCCCGATGACACGAGCCAGGCCATGCATTTGTTCACTCCTTTATCTGTCCCTTTGTTCATCACATCCATCGATCCATCAGTCCCTCCTTCCCTTCCACTCCCATTCTACCTCCCTCCCACCTCCACCCACCCACTAAGCATCTGTGGAGGCTTATAGTGAGCCAGGCACTGTGCCAGATCCTGAACAAGACCCCAGCTGCCCTCGGGGACCATACAGTCTGGAAGGGAGAACACAGATCACCATGTGACTCCCTCGCCAAGGGGAAAGGACTTTTGAAGGGGAAGGACGAGGGAATGTGGCTTGAGGACACAGCTCTGGGTGGGTCTCCCTGTCAATTGCCCCTTAAACTCTGACTGCAAGTTGCCATTTTAAATGGAACTTCCAGGCTGGGTACAGTGGCTTGTGCCTCTAATCCCAGCACTTTGGGAGGCTGAGGCGGGTGGATCACTTGAGGTCAGGAGTTCAAGACCAGTCTGGCCAATATGGTGAAACCCCGTCTCTACTAAAAATACAAACATTTAAAAACTGCAGTTGGCCAGTTGCCGTGACTCACACCTGTAATCCCAGCACTTTGGGAGGCCAGGGTCAGGAGTTTGTAACCAGCCTGGTCAAAATGGTGAAACCCCATCTGTACCAAAATACAAAAATTAGCTGGCATGGTGGCAGGTGCCTGTAATCCCAGCTACTCGGGAGGCTGACGCAGGAGAATTGCTTGACCTGGGAGGTGGAGGTTGCAGTGAGCCAAGATCGCACCACTGTACTCCAGCCTGGGAGACAGAACGAGACTCTGTCTCAAAAAAAAAAAAAAAGCAGTGATGCTGTACAGGGCAGCCATGCCCCTCCTAGGCCAGCTGCTCTCCACGGTCTGCAGCCAAGCTAATGGCCTCTCTCTGTGTCTCTTATGGGACGTCACCAGTACCCAGATGCACTGGAGGGCAGGTAGGAAGTAGTGAGCCGGTGGGAGGCCAGCTTTGGGCCACACCCAGCAGAGAGGAGAGCAGTAGTCCTGGAGTGGGTGGGATGGTCAGTCTGGGGCAAGTCAGCCAGGAGACTCAAGGTCACTCTGTCATTGGGTCTATTCCACAGTGGGTAGCAGAGAATGACATTTGAGAACCATCATGCCTCACAGGAAGCCCCCGGGGCTTATCTCAGGGGCCTCAGACATAGACTGGTCCAAATGGTCACATGCTGACTCGGAGTCAAAATGGCAAGTTTAGCCCCAACTGTGCCTGCACCAGTTTTCTGAGTAGCTTCTCTTTGGATCTCAGTGTTCTGAGAGGTAGAGGCCGTAGCCCCTGGCCTGCTGCCCTCTGGAAATCTGGGCACATACTCCATAGTGAATTTGTAAGTTCCATTTATTTATTTATTTATTTATTTATTTATTTATAAATTTTTAAATTTTTTTTGACATAAGGTCTCCCTCTGTCACCCAGGCTGGAGTGCAATGGCACAATCTCAGCTCACTGCAGCCTCCACCTTCCAGGTTCAAGTGATTCTCCTGCGTCAGCCTCCTGAGTAGCTGGGAGTATAGGCCTGTGCCACCATGCCCAGCTGATTTTTGTATTTTTAGTGGAGACGGGGTTTCACCATATTGGTCAGACTGGTCTTGAACTCCTGACCTCAAATGATCCGCCCGCCTTGGCCTCCTAAAGTGCTGGGATTAGAGGCACGAGCCACTGCGCCCAGCCTGGAAGTTCCATTTAAATGGCAACTTGCAGTCAGAATTTAAGGGGCAGTTGACAGGGAGACCCACCTGGAGCTGTGTCCTCAAGCCACATTCCCTCATCCTGCCCATGGCACTGCCACCACCGCCTCCTGCCCTCAGAGGGCGGCAGGCAGCCTCTAAGCTTTCTCCTTCCCTCTCTTCCCCCTTTCCTCCCTCCCTATACCCCTGGGTGCCCGATCCAGGCTTCAAAGAGACAGCTTTCCTGTATGCGGTGTCCTCTGCCGCCCTAACCCACACCCTGGCCCGGGCCTGCAGCGCTGGGCGCATGGAGCGCTGCACCTGTGATGACTCTCCGGGGCTGGAGAGCCGGCAGGCCTGGCAGTGGGGCGTGTGTGGTGACAACCTCAAGTACAGCACCAAGTTTCTGAGCAACTTCCTGGGGTCCAAGAGAGGAAACAAGGACCTGCGGGCACGGGCAGATGCCCACAACACCCATGTGGGCATCAAGGTGAGCATGTCCCTGGCTGCCCACAGTGCCTTCCCACCAGGGTGCAGAGCCAGGGAGCAAGGCTTGAAGAAGGCCAGCACCCCACCCCCCAAAACAGATGAAGAGCCATGAACTTCACGAAGGCAGGATGAACTTCACGTCTTCAACCAACATTCCCTTGGCATCTACTCTGGGCCATGACTGGGTGCCAGGAACACAGCGGAAATAGGGAAGGGTCATGAGTGTCATCGGTGGGAGCAGTGGTCAGCAGTGGGAGCCAGGCTTGGGACTAGGTCTTGGTGAAGCAGGGAGATGTTTGGAGAGGGGTCTCCATTCTAAGGACCGGGCCTTCCTGGAGGTCCTAGAAGCCAACATTGTTTGATAACCTCCATCTAGAGCAACCTCGCTCCTCCTCCATTTTATGGGTGGGAAGATAGAAGTGGCCCAGAGAAGGGAAGGGGCTGAGGTACACAGTAGTGGGAGGCCTGGAGGGTGAAAAGTATCTTGGTCTATTGAGGCGAGGAGGCTGGGAGATGCCAGTGCTTTAGCTGTTTACGAGATTAAGTTCTGAGTTGTCATCACTGAGTTGTGAACCAGGACTGCTGTGTTCAATCACTGAGTTGGTGTGAACCAGGGCTGCTGTGTTCAATCACTGAGTTGGTGTGAACTGGGGCCACTGTGTTCAATCACTGAGTTGGTGTGAACCGGGGCCGCTGTGTTCAGTCACTGAGTTGGTGTGAACCAGGACCACTATGTTTAATCACTGAGTTGGTGTGAACTGGGGCCACTGTGTTCAAGCACTGAGTTGGTGTGAACTGGCGCTGCTGTGTTCAGTCACTGAGTTGGTGTGAACCTAGGCCACTGTGTTCAATCACTGAGTTGGTGTGAACTGGGACTGCTGTGTTCAATCACTGAGTTGGTGTGAACCGGGGCCGCTGTGTTCAGTCACTCAGTTGGTGTGAACCGGGGCTGCTGTGTTCAGTTGCATAAATGGTCTATTCCACAAGAACTCCAGGCCAAGGGGAGGAGCTGGGACTGAGACCTGGCCCACTCTGTTGTCACCAAGGCATGCACATTGGCACAGTACAGGGCTGTCTCTGCCAAGGGGAAGGGAGTCTTTTACTATTAATAGTTTGCACGAAGGTGCCTCATGGCTAGCTTGGGTTCTCTCTTTCCCCCTCATGGGAACCTTCCTCTGTCTCTTTCCCATTCTCCTGCCGCTGCCTTGCTGGGGTTGGTGCTCTAGGGGCAGGCTCTGGCTGCTGGGCCTAGGCCTCTGACCACACCTCTGTTCTCCCTCCCCCGACAGGCTGTGAAGAGTGGCCTCAGGACGACGTGTAAGTGCCACGGCGTGTCAGGCTCCTGTGCCGTGCGCACCTGCTGGAAGCAGCTCTCCCCGTTCCGTGAGACGGGCCAGGTGCTGAAACTGCGCTATGACTCGGCTGTCAAGGTGTCCAGTGCCACCAATGAGGCCTTGGGCCGCCTAGAGCTGTGGGCCCCTTCCAGGCAGGGCAGCCCCACCAAAGGCCTGGCCCCAAGGTCTGGGGACCTGGTCTACATGGAGGACTCGCCCAGCTTCTGCCGGCCCAGCAAGTACTCGCCTGGCACGGCAGGTAGGGTGTGCTCCCGGGAGGCCAGCTGCAGCAGCCTGTGCTGCGGGCGGGGCTATGACACCCAGAGCCGCCTGGTGGCCTTCTCCTGCCACTGCCAGGTGCAGTGGTGCTGCTACGTGGAGTGCCAGCAATGTGTGCAGGAGGAGCTTGTGTACACCTGCAAGCACTAGGCCTACTGCCCAGCAAGCCAGTCTGGCACTGCCAGGACCTCCCGTGGCACCCTTCCAGCTGCCCAGCCGGCCTGCTGGGCAGGCAGTCATCACATACGTGCATAAACCGGCATGTGTGCCAATGCACACAAGTGTGCCGCTCACCACCATTCCTTGGCCAGCCTTTTGCCTCCCTTGATACTCAACAAAGAGAAGCAAAGCCTCATCCCTGAACCCAAGCATCTCCAACCTTGTTGAGGACTTGGAGAGGAGGGCAGAGTGAGAAAGATGTGGAGGGAAATAAGGGAGACCAAGAGTACACCAGGACTGAAGTTTTGGAGGGGAGAGAGGGGCTATTCCATCTTGCTTCCTGGGATGAATGGCTTGGAGCCAGCATGTTCTTGGAAGGTGAACTGCTGGGCTGGGAATGCCAAGGCAGGCAGTGCCAGCTGGAAGTGAAGGTGGGATCCTGGCTGGGATGGGCCAGTTGGGTCCTGTGGCCCCGCTCAGGTGCAGTGAGCTCCAGGTGTCACACACCTCCACCACTCCCCTGGTTTTGCTGTGCCAGAGATGGGGAGAAAGCCCAAGCAGTAGAAGCCATCCATTCAGAGAAAGGAGAGCTTTCTGCGCTTGAGTGAACCCAGGTGAGATCTGTGCCCTGGAGCCCTGTGTCCTTGTTTTGGCTTTTCAAATATGCCTCGCCTGAGGCCTTATTCTTGTCTTGAGAGCTGGGTTCTGCACACTCACCCAGATGTGCTCAAAATGACCACCAGTGCAGGTAAGGCAGGTGGGAGAATCAGTCACCAAGGCGGGACTCAGTGACCTGAGGTTGAACAGGGAGACAGTGGCCCCTCCCTGTGTTCCTTCCTGGTCAAAGGAATCTTTACTCCCAACCCAGAGGAGGAGGGCGACAGCTTCCTGGTGCCTGGCAGTGACGTGGCAAGCTCAGTTTCTCAGCTGGCTCTTGAGACAGCTTTGGTGACTTCCTGTGGCTGGGGCCTGCCTGGTCTGTGATGCCCCCATACCAGCTGAGTTCACAATACTGAAGACCAGCAGGCTCAGGAGCTATGACTTGAAGTTACATTTCTATTCTTGCGGCTGCTCATCTAATTAAGGCTTTTGCCCTGGCTGGGGTTATAGGTGCTTGAGTCCTTGCTAAGCCTGGCTCCTGGGTAGCCTCCTTCAGTGCCTAATGGCCTCTCACTTGGCCCTCACTTTGGCTCTTACTTGAGGAGACGTGACTTTGATCATTTCCTCAGATCCTGTGGACATTTTCAGCAACACCTGCCAAGGCCCTCTGTGAGAGGAGGAGAGACTGGCACCTCTGCACAGGCACACATGGATGCACAGCCCCTGAACCAAACTGGGGGTTCCTGTTGCACACGCCTCTCTGGTTCAGGATGAAGACCTTGCAGGGGTCACCTTGCTGGAGGCATTGTACTTCCCCAGAGTGGGGCCCGATGCCAGCCAGGAGGAAGTGACTTCTTTCGGGAAGCCCTTGGCCACTTTGCTGGCCCTGCCACGCCCCTCTGTCAGCTTCCTTTCTCCCTAAACCTAGAATTGCTGACCCTTCACTGACACAGGAAACTTCAGAATCAGCTGAATGCTCAGAAACCTCTCCTGTGCCAGCTCCAGGACAAAGGCCCACTCCCTGGGCCCCGGCCGACTCCCTGAGACCTCCAAGGGCGAGGAGGAGCTGCCCAGTCTCCAGTGGATCAGGGCAGTCTGGTGGATGCTGGAAGGATTTTCGACTGCAGAGGCTCAGCCGAGAAGCCAAACTGACCTGCGCCCCTCTCGTTAAAATGACGTTGCTGACCCAAGCACCTGGCCCACACCTTGGCAGACGGAAAACGGGGAGAGGGCTGGTTCTCTTGTTTCTTCCGCTTTCCCACAGCATGGAGAGACTTTCTCTGCCTTCCCAATCCATCTTGCTCCTCTGAAACCCCAACTCTGCCTCCACCCAGGCTCGGTGCTGGGCATAAGGCAGCAGGGACCTCACTGGCAGAACAGGGGGCCTGGGAGCAACTTGGGGGCCAGAGCACCCTGATCCACCAACACGCCACCCACATTCTGACTTTATGACTGGCAGTGCCAGGGTTGCGGGAGGGCAAAGGGCAGGCTCTAAGGCATCTAGGCAGTGGCTGGCTGCTGACATGGACACCCCAAGTCAATGGCACAGTGCAGGTTCTGAGGGCTCCTTGGCTTGTGGGGTCTTCTCTGTCTGTCTCTCTCCCTCTCTTCTCCTTCCTTGCTCTCATCCCTTTCTTTTCCAGTTACCCCTAAAGACCCACCTCTGCCCTCTTGGGGCCCCTGGGGACTAGAGTGACCACTGACCCCTCATTCTACAGCTTTAAGGGAAATGCTCACAGGGTATTTTTGTCTACCTCAAATATATAGTTTTTAGAGCAAAGGAGAATAATTTATGTAGCTAAGATATATGAGAAAGTATTTATATTATTTATATAGTTGCTATATTTCATGGACAGCACAGGTGGGGTTTGTGTGTTTTCCCAGAAACCCTCTGGGGAGATACAGCCTGATCTGACCGGGTCCCCCACTGAGCAGGAGGCCAGGTGGCCGGGAAGGAGGTCGAGCCTGTATCCCATGACTGGGTCTGTCTCAGAGCTGGTGAGCACATGTCCCCTCTGTGACCAGCCCTGGTGGGCTCCATCCAGACCCTCCTTGTGATGTTTTTATAGATTTTCTGCTCTTCTGGGTCCAGGCCCCCTTCTTCTGCTCTGGCAAAAGTGTCTTGCTCATAATAATAATGACAACTAGAATGCCCACACCTGGCATTTGTAAAGCACTTTGCTGTTCAGAAACAAAAACTTTTACCCCTTTCATCTCACTTGATTTCTCCGTTATCTCTGTGAGGTAGGTGGGGCCACATTACCGTGGCCATTTTGTAGATGAGGCCCGGAGACGGAGAGCTGTGCTCAAAGTCACAATGAAGAGACTTGTTCAGTGAATATTTATGGAACATCTCCATAGACCAGGCGCTGTGGGCTGACTTCTCTGAGCCCAGGAGTCCCAAAGCCTGGATACCCCTGTGAGTCCAAGAACTCAGGAAAGCAGTTCCTTCCCGGGCTGTGATCCCGGCCTTTTGGATCTGGATGGCATGTTGGCACTTCCTCCAAGTGGAGTCCCATGTCTCAGGGGCTGAGGCTGCCTGAGAAGGCTGGAGAGACCAGAACCCCACGGAGGCCACTCCAAGGGGTCCTTCTGCCCACATCGCCCAAGAAGCAGCTATCGGCCCAATCAACCCACCGCGAAACAACCTCCATCCCCAACCTACCAAAAAAACGCAGCTCGAAACACATCTTGATAGCGTCCGCAGAGCCGCGCAGGTGCGCCCTCAAGCCCTCCGTCATCCACACCAACAACCAGCACTACCTTTAGGAACAGCCCCACAAACACACACCCCACCACCCCGAGACTGGGATACACGAGGTCGACGAGAAACTCGACCCCCCCATCCTGGCTAACATCAGGTGGAAACACAGATCATCCTACTCCAACATACAAAACACTAGCCGGAAGCCGCCCACCGTGGCAGCGCGCCCTCTGCTAGTCGCAGTAATACATTCGAACGAAGCTGACGCAAAAAATCCAGCGCGCGAACTAGGCCGAGGCCGGGTTGCGCTCCGAGCCATGAGCGATCCGCGCCCTCAACCTCGCGGCGACCAGCAGGACCACCCCGCCCTCTCTCACCAACAAACCAAAAAAAAACCAGAATATCCTCGATGCTACCCCTCTCAATATTGCAGCTCTTCGCCCTTAGACACTAACAATCCTTGCCTTTTACCACTAGCACTTCATACAGCTGCTCTTCAGCAAAGCCGCTCGGCGCCCTGCGACACCCATCAGCTCTATCCCTCTAAGGCCCACACGAGCAAAGCTAGGGCGAGGGAGCCTGTTAGACAGGATGCCCCGAGTGCCCCATCGCTCATGGATGCTCCTGCCTGCCTCTCAAGAGCACATAGTCCTGTCCCCTCATCTAGATAAGCCCAGCTTTCCTGGTACCCTTCATCCCCTGGCAGACAGACGGCCCTGTGCCAACCCTGGAGATTACTTGCTTTTGAACCTTTCCTTTCTCAAAAACCATGAACTTCCAATGCTTTTTGTCTCAGGACACTTTAGAATAACAATGGAAACCATCACTTATTGAGCGCCCTTTATGTCCATTTATTCAACCAATGATTATTTAGGGATCTCTTATTGAGTGCCAGGCAGCATCCCGGGTGCTTGGTACAGCAAGGAACAGGACCAAGTCTCTGCCTCATGGGGCTGACATCCTAGTGGGTGAGAAAGACAATAAACCAATAAATGACATGCCAGTTATTTGCATTGACTTTGTCTCAATTTATTGCAATAACTTTGCACACTGGACATGTTCCCTGTAATGGAGAAGGAAATGGAGGTTGTGAGATGAGAAGCCTCCTCATTGCAACTGGCAGGCAGTGGGGCCAGGATTGGAACACAGATCTCCCAGCCTCCAAAGTATGGGATTTTTCCTCTGTACACTGGTATAGGTCGGGCAGGGATGGATCGCCCCATTTTATGGATTCTGGGTAAACTGAGGCCTAGAGGAAGGAAGTAACCCATCCTGGATTACACACCAACTCAAACCAGAGCCTGGGTCCTTCCTGGAGGTGATAAGCGTTTCCGGGGCCCTCATGCTGTGGCAAGCAGCGTGGGTCAGGGTGGGGTGGGATGAAGCCAAGCAGGGGCCTTCAGGGACCTACAGTCTAACAGGAGAAATGAGAAGCACAGCCATGCAGTGGTTTGGGTCATTTACACATGAACCCTGTGTCCCATTTCTGGCCACAGTGCCTTCCCAACATGCTTTGGGAGGCCTCACCCATCAGGATCCTCCTGGGGGTCAGAGGGGAGAGGAGGCCTCTTTCTGAGCCAAGCACAACAGAGTGTGCCTGTCTCCTGGCTCAGGCCTGCCCTGCCCCAGTTCTTCAGCCCTGCTGGGGTCCACATTGCCTTACCTGGCTCCCCAGGGCGGAAGGCAGTCCAGCTTGCAGGGGCCTACATTTCCACTAGCATCCCTGTCCTAACATGCTCCTTCTACCCAGTGTTCCTGGGCCCGGAGACCAGCTGGCTCTGAGTAATGACAGACACGTCCGCATGCAGCAGCAGGCTCCAGTTTATCAAGGGATTTCTCATCTGTTTCCTCTCTTGAATCTCACAAGCTGGACACCCCTCTTCTTTTTTTACAGATAGGGGAATTGAGACACAAAATGGTTAAGTGACTTACCAAAGGCTACATTGCTAACAAGTGGATCCAGGCCTTTTGCCTCCAAACCCCATATTCTTTCTACCATACACCATCCTCACCTCCTCTTGTCCCCATCTGAGCCTTACCTTGTTCCTACTCATAAACTGGTTCCCAAACAGGCCCGCAGACCTCTCCACCTCCAGCTGCTCAGTGCCACCATCTTCCAGGAGAACCAGGGCTTGTGGAGACAATCACTAGGTGGGTACCCTACCCACAATATCCCCCTCCTTTAAAAACAGCCACATGTGCTATCTCTCTTCGCATATGCAATATCTATCTTGTTGAATCATTTGTGAGACCTTTGCAGACACCGAGATACTTACATACTTTATCATGTATCTCCTCAGGACGAGAACATTCTCCGACAGAACCACAAGGCCATCACCACATCTGAGAGCTGTAATATTGACACAAATTCTCTACTACATAGTCCACATTCAGACTTCCCCAATTGTCTCTCAAAATGTCCTTTATAACATTATTTTCTGGCCAGGTGCAGTTCATATCCATAATCCCAGCAATTGGAGAGGCCGAGGCAGGAAGATCACTTGAGCCCAGGAGTTTGAGGCTATAGTGAGCTGTGATTGCACTACTGCCTTCCCACCTGAGTGACAGAGCGAGACCCTGTCTCTAAAAAATTAAAATTAAAAACATTTTAAAACATGTTTTCCTGGCCCAGGATCTACTCAAGAATTAGGCAATGCACATTGTTGTTATGTCTCTCCACCTCCCTGTAATCTAGAATAATCCCCTGCTTTCTTTGCTTTCATAATAGTGATAGTTTGAAGAGTTCAGGCTGCACGTCTCATAGAACACCTCTCAACTGAGATTTGCCTGATCGTTTCCTTATACTTGGATTCAGGTTAAACATTTTGGTAAGAAGCTGCTTGGTTGATGTGTATCCTATTCTGTGCATGCTGTTAGGAGCCACAGGATGTTTCACTCTTGTCGCCCAGGCTGGAGTGCAGTGGCGCAATCTCGGCTCACTGCAACCTCCACCTCCTGGGTTCAAGCGATTCTCCTGCCTCAGCCTCTAGAGTAGCTGGGATTACAGGCTCACCCATGATGGGGATGGGGACATTCTGGAGGAGAGGCACTGGGGGGAAGCATCCTATATGCCTTCCCCCACCCTCCCCATTTCTTTCCCATTCTTGACTTCACCCCATCTCTCACCAGTTCCTTCTTGCAACCGATCATGCAGCAGACACTGATTGGTGGCCTACGGTGCATGAGGCACATGACGGGGTCCTAGACGCCATGGTAATGAGACTAGGTCCAGCCTTCAGGGAGGTCCCAGACAAGGGGAGAGACAAGCAAATAGATGGCTAGCATGCACGGTGTCCAGAACTCCAGTAGCTGGCTCTGTGCAGGCTCCACTCCACACAGGCACTCCTGTGCGGGCCATTTCCTCACATTCCCCTCTGGGCAACCCCAGAGGTCCCCAGGTCCCATGACAACCATGAGCCGCATCTTTTTTTTTTTTTTTTTTTTTTTTTTTGAGACGGAGTCTCCCTCTGTCTTCCAGGCTGAGTGCAGTGGCATGATCTCGGCCCACTGCAAGCTTCTGCCTCCTGGTTCACGCCATTCTCCTGCCTCAGCCTCCCAAGTAGCTGGGACTACAGGTGCCCGCACCACGCCCGGCTAATTTTGTTTTTGTATTTTTAGTAGAGACAGGGTTTCACCGTGCTAGCCGGGATGGTCTTGATCTCCTGACCCCGTGATCCGCCCACCTCGGCCTCCCAAAGTGCTGGGATTACAGGCATGAGCCACTATGCCCAGCATTGTTTTTTGTTGTTGTTGTTTTTGTTTTTTTGAGATGGAGTCTTGCTTTTGTCATTCAGGCTGGAGTGCAGTGGCATGACCTTGGCTCACTACAACCTCCGCCTCCCGGGTTCAAGTGATTCTCCTGCCTCAGCCTCTAGAGTAGCTGTGATTACAGGCGCCTGCCACCACGCCTGGCCTTATTTTTGTATTTTTAGTAGAGACAGGGTTTCACCATGTTGGCCAGGCTGGTCTCGAACTCCTGACCTCAGGTGATCAACCCACCTTAGCCTTCCAAAGTGCTGGGATTACAGGTATGAGCCACTGCGCCTGGCCTATGATCCCCATTTTATAGATGAGGAAACTAAAGCGCAGAGAGGCTCCCTGGCCACGCAGTAAGTAGCAGGGCTGGAAATGAAACAGCTTCGTCACTGTCTCTTCCGGGGAGTGCAGGGCATGGCCTGGGGACAGACAGAAGGGGTATGAGGGAGTTGCAAGGATTCAGGGTGACTGGTGGCATCTTCTAATCCTGCTGCTTGGTCCTCCTTGTCTTCTCCTCTCTCTCTTTCTCCCCACCCTGCATACCTGTGGAGAGGAGGCTGATGCCTCTTGCGCGTCTTATCCCCCCACTCCCATCCCTCCTCAAGTCCCCAGGGGCTGTGGGGCCCACATTCCTCGCTGGCTCTCTTGGGCCCATTAGTGTGTTTATGCTGGAGCTGTCTCAGGGGAGCTGAGCCCCTACCCCTGCCCCACCGTCCTCCTGCCATGGAGAGTGGGCAGTGGAGTGGTGGAGGCCGGGCAGAGGCGCGGGAGAACCTGACTCAGCGTCCGAATTCCTGCCCCCACGTCTCAACAAGTCCAGGGTGGCCAGAAGCCTGGGGAGCAACGATAGCCCCCCGGACCCCCACCTCTTCCCACACAGCCCCTCCAGAGCCTGACAGGCTCTAATCTCAGCTGTCTTCATGCAGCCAGCCCTCCGAGCCTGGGGTCACCTGACGCCGACACATTTTAATTCAGAAGCTGATTTCTGCTTGTTGGCAACATGTCATTTCTGAAATTGCTTTCTCTGCCCAGAGGCGGGAGATGTCAGAGCTGTGCAGGTGTTGCAGTGGTGCCGCCCCCGCCCCACACCCAGCCCCCTCCCCAAGTTCAGGAAGGATTAAGGGGCGTGAGGGGGCACACAGGAGAT